CACACACACAGTCAGACAATATTGATCTAGGTGAGGCAAACACACGTACAGTCACGCAACGTTGATCTGGGTAAGGCAAACACACATACAGTCACACAATATTGATCTGGGTGAGGTACACACACATACAGTCACACAACATTTGATATGGGTGACACACACATGATGTGTTGAGTTGGGTGAGGTATACACACATAAGTTAACTTTGGACGCCTCCAGAAGTTATTTATTTTGGTTAAGTGAAACACCAATACACACATACACTCACATACTATATTTGCTTGTATATGTAAATGTATGAACTTATACATACATATATTCATTTGTGGACACATACACACACATTTTTAGCGTACATTTGAGAGTATGTAAAGTGATAAATAAACTGATAAACTTTTCGTGTTGATGTTAACAATAACGATTATGTGTATTAATGTCACTAAAAACTCTCATCCTATAAGTCAGTATCAGTAGTAATTTTCAACAGATTTACAAAGCAGACAACTACGCACACAGCTTTCTTGCTCCTTTACCCCTTCTGCCTATTCTTAATATAAACAATGCCATGAATTTGTCTCCTCGGGTCCTAAAAGTTACTAAACAATGCTGATGTCAAAATAAACATGTTACAGCAAGACTATGCAATTCTGTTTTTATATTTATGTTTCTGCATCGTACTGTTGAGTACTACTATTTCCTTGGCTTTTTATCAGGAAGCTTCGTCTTCTTCTGTAATTCTCCAAATGGAACAAAGGCCATGAACTAACTCACTCCAATACAATGAGTAAACGGGCTGCGTGGTCTCGATGCATGGTGTCCGCCTCGAGTGCTAGAGGTTCCGGGTTCAATACCCGGTAAGGGCTGGGAATTTTTCACGTGGACTTGGACTTCAAGTAATTCCTGGTCTCTGGGTAGTGAGATCGGACGCCCGTGAGTATTGTTGCACACGTAAAAAATCCCTTGGCAGTTGGAAATCGAAAAGAGTAGCCTAATGGCACTGCCCTGGCAAAATTTAGAGTTAAAAATCTACCCGAAGTATTTCAGGATCCACGCCGGTGCTAAAGCTGTGCTGAGACTCAGACTTGAGTTAGAAGAAGAACAGAGCACTTATGGGTTACTACCCGTGTGCCATGATGTCGACCTGTTGTTCAAATCTCAAATAAAATGAGTAGCTGATTTTGTGATGAGGTAAATAGCATCATGCTAAACCTCCTTAGCAACATGCGTGACAGGTTTCAGTAGTCATATCCTTTAGAGAGCAATGCCCTTTCTGCTTGCTTGTCAATGCTTTCCTCTTTGATCAGCTGCTAAACAAGGCTAAGGGCCTGTTCTGCTGCACCATAGCATTTTTTGAACCTGTTCACGTTTCCCAGCCTATCTTCACACTTTCTCAGTTTGATCTAGGTCAGAGGGGTGTCACGTTGTACTGATATCTTTGACCTAGGCTGAGGCTATGGGTAGGGGAGTTTGGGTTAGGGCCAGTTCTATATATTCTGGGGTCATTGAAAGCTGTGTTGTCATGTAGTATAGAACATCAGCGCTTACGTTATTAGAGGGAAGACAATGTGACACCCCTCCAATGTAGAAGAGTCTGAATTATGAGTATGAATGAAAGGTCAGGCAGTGTGTAGATGGGCCAGAAAACGTGAACAGGACCTATTTTTCAACTTGCCTTTGCTTATTCCAGGATAAGGCTAGCATCCTACCCAATGCACTCCTCGGTCCAAAACCTCTGGCACGGTGTTGGATGTAAAATTCGGTATAAAAAGCCTAACAATCAGCATTAGCAAAGAACGAGTAGTATTGATCCCTGTTGTAGGGTAGCTCAGTCATATCTGTTGAATGCTGAATTAGGAAAAGACATCATAGCACTCAGGACACTCCCATAAGTGCTCCGTCCTCATCTTCAGCAGCAAGCAAAAAGTTCTGATTCCGATGGCATCTGTGTCTGATTGTAAATCTGTCTCACCTTTCCTTTAGGTGCTGGACGTTGGCCAGATCCCTGGTAACCCCTTGTAGTACTATTATCTTTAGACCGCATTTATCTTGTCTGTGCCTCCGCAATGTTCACTTGCATCTACAGGGCCCTCATAACATCTAGCATGTTATACATCAATTCACCACCAAGTGGTGCAGAAGTGACCAGTCTATCTGCCTGCTCATTTTCCAACACACTGGCATCAAACGATGATGAGAGAGGCCAAAGCTGCTGAACTGGATTCCATTCATGATATTAAGCTGATTACACAGGATAGAATGGAATGGAGGAATAGACAGCGAGCCCTATGTGACATATAATGGCACAACAGGATAATGAATGAATGAATAAATGAATGAATGAATGAATGAATGAATGAATGAATTGTCGAGCAGCTCAGTTATATCTCAACAAGAATGACACACTTGTCTCCCTTTGTTTCCTAGGTAATATAGGTCTAACTAGTTTGCTTGCTGTCTAGTAACTTCAGCAATATCTGAAATTCAGAATCAACTCCACAATGAGTCCTTTGGGTTTAGGAACTCAGGAACTTCACTAATCCATGGCAGTGACATCACAAGGTGCTGTTGTCTTAGGTTTAAAAATAAGACATCTTTTATCAGTCTCTGAACAATGAAATGTGGATTAATTACTATATATTTTACAGGATTAATTACTAAATATTATAAGCTGGTCTTTATATGATCAGTATTTGTCAAATCTGGCAAAAGCACTGGAATAAATGCCAAAATGATAGTTTTAAAAACTGTGTACTGAAGGCCTTACAAAAAGTGCTATACATGTCTCTGTATTGTGTGACAACCATTGCAGGACAAATAACTTTTACTTTTTAGCTCACACCTCCAGTACCAGTAAGGTAATATAATCTTATGATAATTTTTAAAAATTTCTTACTGAAGGCTTAGAAAAAAAACCCCAATTAAACTGGCTCATTAGTTGATCTAATAACAGTGCTAGTAACTAAATAATCATAACAAAGGTAAAAGCACCACTTGAAACAAATGGAACACCCGCATGTTTATATAAAGATTAAACAAACAAACAAAAACAGAAACAAGGATGAGATAGACACAATTAGAGATAAATATCAACATTCAAATAAAAAAATAAAAAAGTTGTTCAAACAGTTTAATATAGAAAGAATAACAGTACTCAAATAAATTAAGTGTTTACACACAAGCCAACATTATTTTCTTCATTATATTACATGTTCAGTGAAGCTTATTAACAGGGTCTACATGTCAATGAAGAATTTATCTGTGAAAGTAAGGGATGGAGTTTTTCTGTCTAGGGCAAAAATACAAATCTTAATGTGCAGAACGTTACTGCACAAACCATGCAGCTTTAAAAATGGGCAGTAAAAAGTTTATATCAATCGTTTTAGAATAAATTTATTCTTTGAATAAAGAAACAAAAACAAGAATACTTTCATTTCATTCTTAAAATGCTGTTTATTTCTGCAGTTAAGATTAAAACAACATTCTGGCTTTTTCCAAAGCCTTGGATGTTTATGGCCACCGCAATTTGGCTGGAGGCTGTTGCTCAAACCAGGTAAAGAGTTCAATGAATAAGCATTAAACTGAACTTATAATGTGGCTAAAAACATCCCTATTTGTACCCATTCAATAATGCTTCAATGACTGCATGTACCAGAGTTAAATAGAAACATTTAAAAAAGTCTCATTCTCAAATTAGGAGTGAACTCAGAATACTATGATAGCATTCTAGTTTCTTTTTCATCTTTTGTGTTGGCTCTCAAATAAGCAGCTGGCACACTGTGTTGTGCTTTACAGCTGGGTTGTGACAATCTGTGTTTTTCCCACTTAAAACTGATTTCAGCACAACCCGACTAGTTACCTTTTACAGCATTCTTGCTAGAGGGGCAGTTGATCTCTTCTTTCAACTTTAGACCCCAGAGGTAAGACAGGCAGCATTCCAGTTTAAATGCCAGAGACCAGCAACTTCCATTTAATGCCTATAGGATACTTCTGACCTTTTCAACCCCACTGACATAATCAAACAGAAGATAAAGTTCAAGAAAAGTTTTCTTTCTCAAGGATGTCACACATACATACAGCAGCAGCATTATGAAATGCCTTGCCAACTGGAATGTGTAATCATTGTTCTCCATATCTTGCAATTTCCACCAGAATGCTGTACTGATGTTACGTTCTGTGTCCTTTACAGGGCACTGCAGAATCAACCCCAGCATTTTTGTTGGCTGCTGTGATTTTTTAAGGTAAATTTTAAGTTCAGTAGTCTTCTTTGTCTTCACCGGCTGTAAGCTCTGGAAGAAAGTCTTGGTTGTTTGTCCATTTAGACTTTTGCTCTGTGCCAAGGCGTGGGTTTTGTGTGTACATCTGTTTTACCAGCTTATTTATGTGCAGCTGATTGTTCCTTGTCGCTTGGGCAGATGCACTCTGACTCTGCAGGAAGATCCCAATTAGTTGACTTTTACGACATATTTTGTTGTTGTTGCAGGCAGTGAGTCTATTTTTGTCTCCCCACAATGAAGCCCTAGAACCCACACCAGTATACATTTAGAAGTTTGCCAGTGCTTTCTGAACAGTCATCAGAAACCAACATAAGGTGGTCTGGTGCCAAATCGCTTGTAGCATCACCTAATCCACAAACGCCAACTGATGTACCTTTTGACAATAAGAAAGACAAAGAGGATGAGAGCAAGGGGGTGTACAGGAGTCACACCAGGAAAGTGACTGGGGACTCACCATGTATTATTACTATAGTTAACAGTTGATACATTAAAGCCGACCTTCATTGTGCAGATGGCACAGTTTCTAGTTAGACAGTAACTGTGACAGAAGGATGCCACTTGGCATGAACTATAAGAAGAAGATCAAAGATGCATGCTTTAAAATAAACCAAGGAAAAGTAGGATTCTGGTAGAGCAGCAGTAAGTCTTTACCACACAAGGTGTCTGGCATTTACAGCTCATCCAATGTCTGCAATGTTTGTGATGATTTCAAGTTCCAGCTGCAACTCATTGAATATCTGCAAAGGAAATGTGCTTCTTGCTACTTATAAGTCCAGAGTTTTGGGCATACTCAATGACTGCTAGGTAACAAAATGCATACTGCTCTGGCACCTGTACAGCAAATGCCCTCTGAGACCTGATCTTCCTCACAGTGTCTTGTATATTAACCACACCAACATCTTCCAGCTGCCGGAGACAAATATCCACAGCAATGAAGGTACCTTGTGTGACAGAGTTGAAAAACAAGAAATAAATTAATTACACAAAGTATCTGTGCAGCCATAGCACTTAAAATATGTAACTGATGCACTTAAAATATAAATTATTAGTGACCTGTGTAAAACTTTGATTTTTTTAAATGGTTTATTTTCTGGAATTCTAATGAGGTCATTGCCCAGTGTTTTTTTTTTTTTTTTAAATGTTCTCATGGCAAACAGATTCAAGTGTCTGGAAAGTCCTGTGTAACCTTAATTCTGGGAGGCCTCTGCCTTTTCTTCAAGGCCCCATGGCTTTAGTGTCCTTTCTTAACTGCTGTGGTGTTAACTAAGGTTGAAGTATACAAATTTCTCTACATAAAGCATATACCAAAAGAGGACTGTGATGCACAGCACAAGGTAGACCAAAAACAAGTCATAAATATAACATCTGAGAAGCTCTTCAACAGTATGATGAGTCTTTAGTTGAGATAGCCAGAAAATCGAGAAACAAAAAACAACATGGTAAAACGCGAGATGTAGAAGGTTCAAGTTTCTGAAACAAGATGCTTCAACACCTTTAGCAAATATCAGTATGTTGAATGCTGAATTATGAATCGACATCACAGCACTCGAGACACTCCCATAAGCACTTTGTCTCCAACTTCAGCAGGAAGCAAAGAGTTCCAATTCTGATGGCATCAGTAACTGTCAGGTACATGAATCTCACCTTTTCTCGAGTGTTGAGCGTCAGCCAGATCCCTTGGTAACTATGCGCAGGGCCATAGCAAATATCAAAAAGTATGCAATAATATTTCTCTCCATGGCTAAACTCCCAAGTGCCTAATGTCCTTATAGTTTACAGGTTGTGTACTCATTTTAGCTTACACTCTTCTTATCTTACTGTCTTCTCTTGCTGTTATTAAACAAACAAAACTGTCTCTACTGTCTGTTTAACACCTTTTTAGGGTGGTGTAGATGGGAGATAGGGGGACGTGAGCCTTAGGATTTAGGGCAGTATGGCTAGTGCTGTCGCCACAGACTGGGCATGTGAGTATGTTTAATTCTATCTCCTCCCTCCCCACAGAAAAACTCCATCATCTTACCGAGGGTTGAACCCAGGTCTCCTGCATGAAAGCCCAACGTTGTAACCCCTCGGCCAGCTTCTCTTTGCTGTTATTAAGGTATCTAAAAACTTGTCAGAACAATAAGGTCTCCATGGTGAAGTGGTCAAATCAGAGACATATAGTAGTCATAATATATCTCTGATGCTATTTTTCCATTTTATTCTTGGTCCACCTCATGCTGTATGTCCCTGTCATCTCTTGGTGCATGCCTTGTCTGGTATAGCATCACAAGCCATTCTCTCTAAAGGGGCAAACAAGTTAATGTATTCTCTTGCTGTCATTAAGGCACCAAAAAACTTGTTTGAACAACAGGGTCACCACGGTGAAGTGGTCAAACTGTTTGCCTCATGCTCTGAAGGTCATGTGTTCATTCCAGGGATGTGCCGCTCAGTTCATGAGTGCAGTTTTTACAGAGATCCTTAGGAACTGTTGCTGGAGTTATGGAGTTTGTGCAATGTATAATAGTCTCGGCAGGCGGCCAGCTGTTTCATGGGAAGATAGTAAGCCATATGGGATAACATCTGTTGCAATGAAATCTTTTGTTCTCAACTTTAACTTCGCCTGAACACACATTTAATACTGACAAATTACCTGTTCGGCCAATACCAGCGCTGCAGTGAACAACAACTGGAGGTCCTAATGGGTGACCTGACCATGATGACCCCATCTTTTTAGTTAGGGCTTTCTGGACATGCCTGACTCTGGCCAAGAAAGTCAAGAATGGCGGTGCTTGGGGTACCCCGTGATCAGGCCAGCCGATGAACTGCAGATGAATGACTGGATGAGATTCCCCTGTCTGAAAATTTGAACAAGTTAGTTGATGAAACAAATATACTTTTTCTTCATTTGCTCTTTTCCTAATTCAGGTGTGGAGGGAGATATAAGGTTTTGTTTCTTACTCTTCTAGTCACCCCAAACACAGACACATTGTACTGTCATAGAGTTTCTCTGACGTTATCTTTCCTTATTGTTCTTGGTCTACCTCATGATCTGTGTTCCTCTCATCTCTTGGTGTAGGTCTTGTTTGGTTTGGTATCAGAAGTTTTCTCTCTAAGTGGTCAAACCAGTGTATCTGCTACCTTTGTATGTAATTTAGAAAAGGTTCTGTGCAGACTATTTTTTCCCTTTGACAATATTTGTTTCTATCTCTTCTGGTCATTCTTGCAGCTTTTCTCAGACATCTCATTTCCATGGTTACTAATGTTCTTTTCTGATCTGTTGTGAGTGACAACATCTGGTGCTGGTAGCAAAGGGATAAATATAATAAACACACCAAGTGGGTTAGTTCTATCTCAACCTTTACAAAGGTTTTCACAAAATACAAATCTCACATGTATTTACTAAACAAAATACAGAATTATTAAGACCAACATGCTGAGATATCTTTCAGCTTTATATATTTATCAAGGTTAATGTTGAAATAAATAGTAGATAATACTATAAGCCAAAAGTCATAGTATAGGATTTCTTTATATCATAAAGAGTGTTGAGCATATGGCACTCGGTCTTGTTAGGCCAATCTGCATTTAATGGATGAGGTGGTCAATAATCTACTGGCCATCTTTATTTCATGGGAAATTTCAAAGTAAAAAGCTTTGGTTTTTGACTTGGCAGTCAAGACCATGGTTTGCCCTTGCAGCATGATTCCAATATTTTTTTATCTGGCCAGTCAAGCTAGGTTAAACTTGGATCTCTGTGAACATTTTAAACAGCCCACTTTTCATAGGGAATTGTATCTATAATCAGTGAGCACGCTAGCTATTATAATGAGATTGAGGAAATGAGGAAGTCCAAAAGAAACCCTACAGCAAATGTTGTTGAGAAAAGCCAAAGATGTGGGACTGGATTCCTTCCATGCTATTGAAGGGATTGCACAAAGTAGATTTGAATGGAGGAACAGAATGTCAGCCCTATGTGACATATAATGGTATAATATGACAGTCAATAAATTAATGAATAAAATGCTACCATCGTCATCATGTAGCAGGTCCTTTGCAGAACGTCGCTCTCATCAAGTCTGCCTGAAAGAAACTCGGTCTCTCGCCAGTTCTCCCGCCTCATGTACTTTCATACTCAAGGAGTCACTTATATCTTGTGCCCATCTTTGTGTCGGTCGGCCCCTGCCCATCCTTCCTGGTACCATGCCTTTTGCTATAATTTTTATCTAATCCGTCGAGGTGTTTGATATGACCAAAATATTTCAGCTTCTCAGACAGGATGCTGTTTATTAGCCAATCTTCCTTGATGTTCAGATCTTTCAAGATGTCAGTATTTCTCCTCTTCTTTGTCTAAGATATTCTGAGAATCTTTATATAGCAAAATGCTACCAATTGCACAATATCAAACTTATAATAAATTATGTTAAATTTTACAACTGTGAACTTACACGTGAATTACGAAGTGTAAGTTGTGTTTCTATGAAGTCTGTGTGCTGAATAATATCCTCGTTGCTGACAACAAGCTCTTCAAACTTTCTACTGGTATATTTATCTCCTGGCCAGTACTGGCCACATTTGATTCTGGATCTCTCGACTGTTCTGAGGAGAAAAGTTTAGCTGATAATTCTTTTTTTTTGGCTGCTCTAAAAGATGATGTCCTCTTGACTGGAAGGGCCGAATGTAAGACGGGCCTGCGTGCCCAATTTGTGACCCTTTGAAAATAAAGTTCGTTCGTTCGTTCGTTAACTCTTTGAGTCCCAGGATGTTTAGCATCACAGGCCCAGGGGGTAGTAAAGAAAGTAATAAAATCGGCGCATCATGAGTTCATTGGGTTTCTAGGTAGGAACCTATAAACGTATGATGCGTTCCTTGGGACTCAAAGAGTTAAAGAATTCAAGATGGGACATGGACATTCTTTAGTGTTTTTTTCTCTTTAGCCAAAAGAAGAGACAAGAAGATAAAAAAAAATGAAAAAGTAGGTATATTAACACCTTCAGTACCAAGGTGTTACTTGAGCTGGTGCTATTCTAATAAGTTGTTTTAGCTAACATATTTATAAGTCTGAGAAGTTTCAATAATAATAACCCTTTGAGACAGAAGAGGTTAAGTAACAAGCTGGGTAAACTAGTGTAATCTAACATCTAGATGGATTACAAGAAGTTAAAAAAAAGTATACTATCTCAGTTTAAACCTCCCCATGTGGTTTCTGGACTCCCATTTTGGGTCTTCCTTTTGAAGTCAAAGTACATTTGCCTGAGAGGTGAGGAACCAAAAGTCTGTAAACAAATAAGCTAGATCTGTAAAATGGATGTGCACACAAACTTCAAGCTCTCGAACAAGGCTAAAGTCCAGAAGTGAACGAACAACCACAGCTTTCAGCCGGAGTTTATATAGCCAAATAATGCTAAAAAGAAGAAGAAGATACTACCAGAACTGTAATGAAGGCTTGGTTGTTGGAAGAAGAGGCAATGGCAACTAGCATGAAGATAGACACTGGAAACTGATAATCAAAAAGGCTGAATGAGTACAACTGGCAAGTGACTGAGTGTATTTCTGGTGGGCATGATATTCTGTAAAGAAACTGCTGCATAATAACACTAGTACAAGCTAGAAAAACAAATATGCACATGGCGAAACCTACATTTGAAGTATATATTCCCAATGTGGGTTCCGAGGCCCCATGGTAGAGAAAAAAGAATAGACCCTCTGTCCCCACCCAACAAGGATGTCACAAAACTCAAATAATTAGGGATGTTTCTATTGGTCACATGCCTGACAGACGAAGAGTCCTAAGTTTGGATACAAATTAGCCAGATATGTAAAATGGATGTGTACGCAAACCTCAAGCTCTGAAACAAGACTAAAATTCCAAAGTGGACGAACAAATAGAATTTTCTGTCGGAGTTTACAGCTGTTGAATGCGAAGAAGAGTAATTCTATTTTATAAGTGAACAAGAGAGAAAGAAATATCAACACCAAATATAGCCAATCATATTTCTCTTAAAAATTAAAACATACATTACAATTATGTTTCTCATTCTAACTGTATGTTCCGCTGACTGCTGTTTATCCATCTTTTATATCCTCCAACTTGTATGTGTATTGCTGTATATATTTTGCTCGCCTGCCTTAAACTTGATCCTTGTTGAATGGTGAATTGAGAATCGACATCACAGCACTAAGGACACTCCCTGAGCGCTCCGTTCCCATCTTCAGCAGCAAGCGAAGAGTTCCAATTCCAATGGTACAAGTAACTATCGGACTGTATATCCTTCTCGGCGTTCTCTTGAGTGTCGGTTAGATCCTCTGGTTACTCCTCGCAACACCATTCTCTTCAGATCTCAAGGATCAATTTGTGCCTCTGCACTGTTTACTCCCTCCCAAAGGGATCTTACAACATTTAGTTTGACATACATCAATTCACTTTATCCTTGAGCATGGTATTTAGTGTTGTGTCTTTTAATGTGGTGGAAATGTTCCAACAACAAAGTATTAAAAATAACAAAATGACCCAAAATATTACCTGGTAGTCATGACAATGACACAAGTCTGATTGTACCATACCATTCTCCAAAAGTCTACAAACGTATTAGGCAGGGGTCCTGTTCAATAAATATGTTATAGAATGTGATAGATTAGCTAAACACAAGATTTACCTAACCTATTTAAATATGACTATGCATGACGTAAGAATGGCATCAGACTAGCTACCTCATATAAAAATATGGCTGCAAAATCCAAACCAGCGGCGTCCGTGGCTTAAGTGTTGCGAGTCCGACTTGTAATTCCAACGTGATCGAATCCCACTGCTGGCTGCATGGATTTTTATCATGGTATGGGGCGTCGCAAGTCAACCCAGCCTACAATGGGTTCCATGATGGCTGCCCTGGGGAAGTAAAGATGGCCGGTGTAATGCTGACCATATTGCACATGTAGTGCCAATGGTCTGTAAAAATATGGAGTGCTCTTCCCACATGGCAGATCCGCCTAAAGGCGTGGAAAGGGATCTTTACTTTTTTTTTAAATTCCAAACCAATCAATCATTTATTGTTGTGTTGTGCCATTATATGTCATACAGGGCTCTTCATTACGTCCTGTGCAATCTCTTTGATATCATGGACAGAATCCAGTCCAGCACCGTTATTATTCTGTCATCAACATTCACCATAAGGTTTTTCTTGGATGCCCTTGTTCCCTCAGTCCATTTCAGATTTCAGTGCCTTTTTGGTGATTCTCCGTGGTCTCTTCTCAGGATGTGTACAAAATAGCACCATCAACTCTGTCTTACACCTGTTGATACTAGTGGTTGCCCAGACATTTCTCTTATTTAACCAACAATAAACCAGACAATAAACAATTAAGGGCTTGGCATGAGCTGGTTGAATTTGAGTGGAAAAATGAAGCTCTGAAGTCAAAGGATCAACTTTACTGTACCAGTCTTTGTCCCAAAGGGCCCAGTCTCTCTCAGCAGAATGACTGGCAGCCTGCCAACAGTGTTACACAAAGCACAAACACCACAGCTCCAGCAATGATCTCCACAGCTGTTTTTTAATGAGATGAATTGTTTAGATGTACGCACTCTCCCTAGTCACCTATTATGACAAGCATGATAAGGTACACTGTTACAAAAATCATTCATATTTTTTTTTTTTAACATTGGCCCTGGTAACTTATAAGCAAGGGTCTGCATAACAGTTATTTTTTTTTTAAGTCACGACTAAAATAAAAAATAAATAAAAACAATGACAATATTGCTCGAGTAGTATGCATCAATTCATATGATTCTTTAGCCGTATACCAAGATTAAAGGCTGTAAAAAAAATTATGTTTCACTTATTCTTCTATATCGCGCACGTGTGTACACACACACACACACACACACACACACACACACACTCACGCATGCAGTCACAAACACACAAATAAACAAACTGTCTAAATCTAAAGTAATGTGAATACAAATCAATGTACATGACTAGCATGTGAAAAATATACCTTGAGTGCAGATAAAAGCATTTTTCTGCTTATAGCCGTCTACAAAGTTAGCATTGATGTAACTGCTACTTTGGTGGGGAATGGCCACAATACTGTGGTCATAACACAGAACATCACTGTATCTGTTCTTTGCAACATTAGCCTTCAGTCTGTAAAGAAAATAAACAAAATATCAGTTCTGTTTCAATAACCTCTGTAAACATCACCCTAAAGTCCATGCTATGTAATGTGGCTCTTCAAGCCTGTCCTTAGCTCTCTGTCATGTGTACTGCTAATCACTTCTGATTCATATGCTTTTCAATGTCCCCAAGCCAAAAACTGTCCAATGTACTTTCTTCCTTTTAGTCTCCTCTGCCTCCTTCCTCTTGCACTCTTCTGTTGTTATAATGTGTTTCACTTCCCCCCTACAGCCAGTCTTCTTAGGTCAAACTTTGATAAGAGGAATTTTGCTTAAGCTGACATGATCAGCTGTTCTTTATCTTCCTTCTTTATCACTGCATAAAACGTACTGTTAAGTCCACATCTGGTAACTCAAATATTTGAATTAGTTGAAGCTAGATATGAATACTGACTATATATAGGTGTATGTTTAAGTCAAACTGCTCATTATCACACAAACAATTGTTTCATCAATGAATAATTTTTAGTCAACCTAGAAAACATCCTGAAATCTTGCATCTATATCTTCCTACATATTAACAATGGTGGCTGGCGGCAAAGGCTTACCTTTGAACTTAAAAAAAAGGCTCAATTATTGGAAGAGGATGAACATAGTGGGAAGAAGTACGTGGATATAGCTAAAGAATAGGATATTCCAAGATCAACACTTTCTGGCATTTTAAAGCATAAAAGCTTCAGAAAACTGTTTTTCCAATGTTAAATCAACTATGACAGACAGTGAGCTAGAAGAGCTTCATGTGACTATTGATTCTACTCTTTTAAAATGGTTTATTGTGCTTAAGCCGGCAAATTTACCCACAAATAGGCCATCAATTATTGCAAAAGCAGAGGAACTTGCACTTGTTGGAAGTCAGACAGACCGGAAGTGTAGTACTAGCTGGTTGGATCGTTTAAAATAAAGACACTGCATACAAGAGTGTGTGCGGAAAGAAACGGTCAGTTGATGAAGCAACGACTCATTCATGGACACAAGAGGTGCTTAAACTTTTTTTGCTAAAGATAATTTTGTGGATGCATATAATGCTGATAAAACTGGCTTATTTTGGAGACTGTTACCCAATAACACATTTTCTTTCAAAAATTAAAAGTACTGAGGGAGAAGGGGAAGCGGGGGACGGACGAAAGAATAACAGTAGTTGTTTGTTGCAACATGGATGGTAAAGAAAAATGACGAGTATTGATGACAAAAAATTTTAAATTTTAAAGTCATGGATATCATCAGAACTCTTCAGTAAGTGGCTTCAGAAACATTATTATTCAATGACATGTAAAGAAAGAATAGTTTTTTTTTTTTTTAAATTGTAATCAAGGTATCATTTAAAACCTGAAAGTGTATTATAGATCTACAGTGTTGTCAGAACTTGTATGACATAAGGATGCTGATCACAGATCTGATTATTTCAAGATAACCCTTCTTGTTGCTATTTTAACGTTAAAATCTTCATGGGACAGAGCTTTTGCCTGCAACTATTGGAAACTGCATTAGACCAGCTGGCTTCCTACCTACAGCAGATTTCCCAGTAAATGAGAATTCCACACGATCAACAAGCAGAGTAATGTTATTGATATTTCAGTGGAACCATGACTTGCTAGGTTGTAACAAGAGCTAAACACTGATCCAGAGGAGTTTGTTAACAATGATGTTTTTACCACTGCCACTCTTTCAAGCACTGACATTATAGAGCTATGTATGCCAACCATTCAACCAACAAACCACTCCAACCCTGACACTGTTGATGATGATGACTGTGGGCTACAAGCAAAACCTGTATCATAGTCAGATTTTTTGGCATGCATGGCCATGCAACAAGCCCTGGAAAGCCATTTTTTTCCATGCCAAGAAATAAAGCAAAATCACAAACTTTTTCCTTAATTAATTTGTGAATGTTCATATGGGTAATATTCTGCTTTCTTAAAATAATTGAATATTTCAACATTTCTGATATTAAATTGCCATTTATTTGTGCTAGCCTGTGATGTTTCCTAAGTCGTAAAATTGTTTTACTCAATGCTATTAGCATACATTGTCTACTATATTGCTACATGGATAAGCAGAATTCCTGATAAGTGGAACAATTTCCTTAGTTAGGTCCCTGTGATTTCTATTTATTCACACTTCACTGTAAATCCCAGTTTACTTCTTAGAGGTCTTTTTGTTGTCTCCTTCTTTTCCAAACTTTTTCAAAGAGGGGGAAAAATTCAATTCAATGGCAGTTTGGAATTATAAAAGGTAGGCCACACAGGTAACTTTCCTGGAAAGTTTCAGAATTAATTGATAAGATAATATTTACAGTATGTATAGATTTCAATACACACACATAACAATCTTTTGCTGTAAACCTGACCTAAGATTTTTCCATATTAGATTATGGTCTGAAAGAAAAGTTTTAAACACTAATGGATAGTGTCACAGAGCCATGAAACTGGCCCTTGAAACAAATCAGAGTAATAATTATTTGGTTTCACTGTAAAAAACATGAAGAAACAATATCAAAACAATCCTGTGTTGTGTAAACAAAAGGATTACATGGTTATTCTTAGACTCCAACAGTGATTATGTGGTGAATCCTAGACTTCATTGATGAGTTGTACAGTGGAACAACAGACAATGTGATTTGTGTATTGCAGTGACAAGGAATCATGTTTTGTGCTACTTTATATGTGGATGTAAACTCTGCAGTGAAACACCTGATGAGATCCAGCAATATAATACTGGCAATAAATTGTGCAATGTGTTGTTTGTGTTGGCATTATTATTTAACATCTAATGGGAGAGAATCAGCCATCATGGCAGGCACTGGAGACAAGAACAAGGGAATTAGACCTCCAGTATGACCCAGGGTTCGCTGGAAAGACAACATCCGACAGTCCCTGACTGACAGAGGACTAAAATGGAACAAAGCCAAAAAGACAACTGTTAGTAAAGAAGTCTGGGGATCTCTTTGGCAAATCTCTAAATTCCAAGGAACAAGAGGATCGACTAAGTAAAAGTAAAAATTATTTGAAATCTAAACATACATCAGGAAAATAAATATAAACTAGATGTTACCTACTTTGAAGTTTCAAAAGTGCCAACAGGCGCCTCTGTTCTGATTGCTGCATACTCAGAAAACAGACCTTTCATCTTTACTGTGGTGACCTTGTCTAGCAACATTTGGACAGTGACACCATTGTTATCTGAAGAGTGGAGATAACTCTCCCGCTCATTTGATCCAGAGGCCACTGAAAGCTTTCTTTTAGGCATTTGGGTAGAATCATCTTCAAAAGCAGAATCTGATGTTTTTCGCTTTCGGTTCATTCTCTGCATTTCTTTATTTTTACTGTTGGCAGAGTATGTTTTAACATCTTCTCCAGACATGTGTACTGCTTTCCGTCTACTCACTGAAATGTAAAACTGTAATTTGTTGTTGTTGTTAAGTGCTCTTCAAAATTCTGCCAGGACGTGGCCAGCCTTAGGAACCTGTCACATCAACTAGATATCCATTACTGATCTGGGATGAACTTGAAATGTCATAAATCCAGACTGAGCTAAATGACTGTTCACTAATAGCACAACTCAAATTCAGTGTCATGACACAGCATCTTGTAGTCCCTTAGTTTAACTAGCAATTAGTCCTCAGCAAAGATGTTGATGTGTAGAATGAGTATATCTGCAAAGAGACCAGAAAATAAAAAAAGCTTTCTTCCCTTAGATGAGTATAATTTTAAAGCCTCACATTGTTTAGGCCATTACCATTGTTATTTGCAAATGTCTCGTCATTCTTTTGCCCATCCATGGTATTCTTTGCATTTTCAATAGAAACTAGATTTCTAATTACCATCATCTTAAGTTTCTCAGCTTACCTACTTAAGACTTTTGTCTCCCAAGAAATGTATGGTATGCAGTAAACACTATCTTTTGAACCTCAACCATTTAATGTGCGCTCTTTACATGTTTAGTCAAAGTATAGTGAGAAATCTAGCTTTCTAAGTGGTAACTTGCTCTCTGAAATTAATAGGAAACTTTCTGCAAACAGTTCTGGGACAAAGATTTAATTTCAAGGTTTCGCAAGCATACAATATATATAGTGTGTATATATATATATATATATATATATATATATATATATATATATATATATATATATATATATATATATATATATATATATATATATATATATATATATATATGTATATGTGTGTGTGTGTGTGTGTGTGTGTACACACACACACACACACACACACACATACATACATTCACAAAATGGCACATGGACACTCTTTGCTTTTATTGCACATGCTTTTTATTGGTAGGTTCCCTGTCTTGTAAATTGCTACATTAGCCTTAATTATTATAAATTTGTTCATGTATTTTTTGTGTCAGACACTATGAAATTACTCTGACTGTTTAAAGATATCTGTACAAATTAATTTATGTTTTAGAATTTTCCAATTAACTTAGATATTTGCTAAATTCTGTTGATTTATTCTTGGTGATAACTGTAATTAGTTCTCTTACAATTCAATGTTCACAGCTAACATCAACATCAAATTAAGAAACCACACCACCATTTTCCTCCTTTGTTTTACCAGCAGCAGGAGACTACTTTAGTGTTTAAATTACATCTACAATAATGTTGGCCTTATTTTATTATTAAAATTAACTATTAATTCCCATCAAGTAGTATTCATCTTAACTCATCCATTCTGACTACTCAGATAACAATTTAATTAACATAAAATTTAAAAATACAATTTGATTCATATTACTTGTGATTACAAAATATCAATATCATAATCAAATCATTATCATTCATAATCATGGTGCTGTTCACGTTTCTAGGCCCAGGATTAGAGTAACTTCCCTTGCCATCTATGCACCTAAGGTCGCTGGACCTCTCCTATGTCAGTCTTATGACTCCTGGGGGAGTCATGTTTTCCTTATTGTGAACTGTGTAACAGTTGCCTCTAAAAAGGTCAAGTCGGGAGATGTGAACCAGCATCATTGCACACGGTTATAAACCATAAGTGCACTGCCACCAGTACGGACAGCTGATAAGAATTGTCCACCTGTGTTGCCGTTCGCACGTAACTCTGTAGCTACAGCCACGTTCCTCCATTTACCCCAGAGTGTTAACTCTGGTACCCATTTCCTAGAGGCTGGGAGAACACCGGGAGCCGCCCGGTTTCGAACACCGACCGTGGGCTGCAGCGAGTCGCGGCTGGATTTGAAAGCGAGCCTCTTATCAAATGTGCCATGCCTCTTTTCTCGCCCTATCACCGTTTACTTGCGTGATTATTTTCAGGTTCTGCTACCTGTGCAACTGTTCAGGAGTATGAAAACTGCTATATTTGTCTATTGCTATGCTCCTTGTAACTGCTTTCTTTCTCTCGAGGGAGGGAGGTGGAAGTCACCGCTAACAAACGTAGAAATACAAATATGACCCAGTTCTGACAGCCAAGAATCCTGGCACCTGAGGCACTTCCTTACTGCAGTACTTCTGATTTGTACACAGGCGACTGTGGTGCCTGAAATAGACACAACGGCTCTCGTCCGAACTTCTACTCAATATTATAGAGGCCAGGCAAATAGCCCAACAGGGCCTCAGTCGTGTGTAAAATGCGGACTTTCTGCCAAGGAACAAATCGCGATAAAACTAGGATTACTTGACAATTTCAAGAGACGCAACACTGCAGACGATAGTACCAGACGATAATAGCCACTGCTGACAATTTCAAGCATTTCTGCAGACAATAATAGCGACCATTGACAATTTCAAGACATTACAGACGATAAAAGCCACATGGCCAGAAGACCACACACTCTGACGCAGATTAGCGTCGTTGTTGTTCTCACACTTTTCAGCATGCACAAAAACGCGGTTAAACTCACTGCCGACAGTATCCCCCGTGCCGCGCAGATGGGGATCTAAACTAGATGCCTAGGACTCACAAGCAAATAAATTAAAGGAAGTTGCCGGAGGTGCGGTAGCTGCTGGTCATGAGTCCCAGCCATCTAGTTAAGCCCCCCATCCGTGCCGCTACGTGCGGCGCGGAGGATATTGTCGGCGGTGCGGCATAGTCGCAGAAACAGGTCTGTAATTAACATATCGCTGAGACCCTGTTAGAGCATTTGTTTCGTTATTCGGAGCCGATCCTAGTTTTACCGCGATTTGCTCCTTGGCAGAAAGTCCACATTTTACTCACGACTGAGGTCCTGTTAGGCTATTTGCTTGGCCGCGATAATTAATATCGGGTAGAAGTTCGGAGGAGAGCCGACACAACACAACCTTACACAAACATTACATACGCTGAGCAAATGCCAAACCAAGCTGCTATACCATAACACCCCCGCTACATAGGAGAGGTCCAGCGACCTAATGAGGCATGAATGGTAAGAAGTTACTCTAATCCTGGAAACGTCACTGAACAGGTCCATAATCACATAATTTAATTCATAATCAATCATATTGATAATCATAGAAGTAGAAGCCGGGCTCTCCTAGCAAATTTGGTCGGAAGCTGGTCGGCTTCGGTCGGCGTAGTGGGAGTTCTTTCCCTTGGCCGCACTCACAACAACGAGCGGAAAAAGTAACGACTCAAACACAACAGTGAGGTCGACATCAGGGCTGCCAATGCTTGGTTGTGTCCCCCAGATCTGGGCTTTTCTTTTGACGCTGTGGGAAAATCTGGGTTTTTTTTTTCTGTGTGTCTGTCTGTGAGTGTTTTGCCGATCTGTAAGCTTTAATGACCGATAAATTTGCGTGGTTAGGGTTAGCGGTAGGATTAGGGGTAGCGTTAGGGTTACGGTTAGGGGTAGCATTAGGGTTAGAGATAGAGTTAGGGTTAGGGGTTAGGGTTAGGGGTAGGGTTAGGGTTAGGTGTAGCGTTAGATGTGACAATTGTGACGCCGTAGTTCCCTATAATCGCGCACAGTCGCATGCACACGCAAACAGTTGACGGACGGTGGATGCTACTGACATGGACAATTCGCCACCGATTGGGCACTAGCCGCGCGCTATTGCCGTCATATTTGCCACACTTCCAGTGGCGCCACTCCCACAAACATCAGACTGTCGGCCAGTATTTCGACCTCTTACGTGAAAATTTTCACATCTAACCCTACCCCTAACCCTACCGCTAACCCAAACCCTAAGCAACCCTTCACGCAACTGTATGACGATGATAGACACCCTACGCAGCTCTACACGCAACCGTATGATGATGATAGAACCCTACGCAGCCCTAAGCGCAACCGTATGATGATAGGTAACCCTAGACGCAACCGTACGCAACCCTACACGCACCCGGATGATGATAGGTAAGTATGTCATTTGATTCGTGACTTTTTCCGCGACTTGTTTTGAGTTTGGCGAAGGGACATAACTCCCACTAAGCCGACCGACGCCGTCCAGCTTGCCGGCCAAATCTCAGTCTGCAAGTAGTAGTAGAGCCAGAAGGCGGAACGGGGGAGCTCAGGTCCATTGAGTCCTCCACCGACTTTTTTAAGGCGGGAGGGCAGGGGGCTGATTGTAATATTCCGCTCTGCAACTTTATATGACAAGTGTACAGTTATAACTACCACACTTTTACTTTGTGAAATCTAAGTAACTACACACAACAAACTTTTTAGATGACAGCTACGCCATTTTCTCGTTGCCATAAATAATATTGCCTGAGCGATGTAGTCGTAAAAGTATTCAATAATATAAAAATACAGTATAGTTTATTCCGTTTATTATAATATTCAAATGCAATTATAACATCGGATCAAAATATTATTTTATTAAGTATACAAAATATGGCTGGGTTAATTGACAGTAAACAGCACTTTTACGACAGTAGCTTTTTGACAACATTGTGACGTCACTGTTTATTAACGCCATATTTAGACTGAGCTGAGGGCCTCACAAAGAATACTTGCACTTCTGACTTCATCTCTCATTATTTACATCCGTGAAGGCGATAAACAGTTGTGGTCAAAAACTGTCAGCACTGTGGTTTATTTCAGACATCGACAATGGCGCAGAGTCCAGCAGGTAGCGCTATAAAAGCTCTTCAACTTGAACTCAAGAAGATCCAGGCAGAACCTGTAGAAGGATTTCGTGTGAAACTAGTGAACGATGACAATCTGTTTGAGTGGGAAGTGGCGATTTTTGGACCACCAGGAACTCTATACGAGGGTGGTTACTTTAAGGTGACACTCCTTGGTTTCTCAGTGTTTTGATCTCTAAGGTTTCACTTTCACTTGGTAGTTTAGGCTAATCTGTTTATCATTAGTAATTATTAATAGTATGTGACCTCAGATAAGTTGGGGGTGGGGAAATAATACAGTGATGACTGTTTTCTAATTACAATTACGTAATTATTATATTATTTTTACCCCTCGCTTTCTCACGCCCCCAACCCCCAAATAAGTGCTTTAGTAAACAGCAAGATTGCTGTACTCTTTTTGTCTGTTAATAACAAACAAAAACTATGCTCTGTAAAATTTAATTTCAAAGAGAATCTTTAGTCTACATTGGTGACATGACAATAGAAAGTATAACTGAAAACAAAACATTGGACCCTGTTGTTTACATAAATAAAATCTTTGATTGTCATGATATTAACTTATTGAGCTAAGAACTGATCTCACAGCACTCAGGGCATTCCGATAAGTGCTCTGTCCTCATCTTCAGCAACGAGTGAAAAGTTCCAACTTTAGTGGTGCCAATAACAGTTTATTTAAATATCCTTCCTGCTTTTCTACTGAGTGTAGAGTGTTGACCAGACATCCTGGTCACCCCAACTGCACCATTCTCTTCAGACCATAATGATCTATCCGTGCCTCCTTATTGTTGGTTGTTCATTTGCTTCTAAAGGGTCCTAACCATATCTAAGTTGTCAAGCATCAGTTCACCACTCATTGATGCAGAACCAGCAAATCTGTCTGCTGGTTCATTTCTTAACACACCTGGGAGAAAATATCCAAAGGATGCTAACTCCATGGGACCTTTGAAGTGATGTTTGCCATTCTGCACGGAACATACCTTTCACCACCTTTGGCAGAATGGTTTATGATTTAGTTACAATCACAACATGTGTATGCAGCTAGTTCTCAAGCCAGTAGAAAGTTGTTGTGACTCCACCACCATTTGCAAACTAGATGTTGAAGTTAGTTAGTTAGTTAGTTGGGTTATCCTCATTGCACTCCGGACATGTCCATAGGTGCTCGGATCCTCCCCTCAGTATGAACCCCAACGTCCGATGGCTAATAGTACCAGTTCTATGTTGATTAACAAGTCTTCTGGCGTGTCTGGTGTGCGTCTCGTTTTTTGCTGTGCCGATGTTAATTCCCAAGTCTGCCATTCTGGCGAGTGATGTGGATTCACTGCCACCAAAGTCCTCTATCCTTCCCATTTCTCTGAGGGCATTGATAATATCAGCATGATCCATAGGCTGACCGTCGGTAGTGATAGCGGATCCAGCCAACCTGTCAGCTCTTTCATTTCCATCGACGCCTGCGTATCCCGGAACAAAAATAAAGGTGACTCCACGCACAGTGGACTTTTGTAATGATTCAAGCCATTGTCTTCGCACTGAACCTGCCTGAACCCTCCAGATCATACTCATTGAATCACTGAGTATACATACACGGGTGTATTTTTGTGTCTCAAGCCAGGAAGTGTCATATGCTATGCTTTATTGTACTAAGTGTTGTCCATTCTCTTATGAAATAAACCCTTGCACTTCATCTGCATTGTTATGTTAATTGTAATAAAACTTAATTGGTAATTTAAAGAAACATTTCTGATCTGTCCACTCACATGGAAGAAGGAAAAAAAATCTAAAATTTAAGCTGTTGAACTTAAAATATTACAGAAAAATTGTTGGAATTATATCAGTACGAAATATAGGGACATTCTGCAAGATCTGCACATTGATGAAAACTGGCTAAAGAACAACATCATTTCTTGGAAACTGAAATATTTCAGTAGTTATCACTTTAACCTGCATAGACATTTCCCTTTAACAATTGAGTCCAAAACACCACAGAGGAAGGGCCAAACAAGAAAGTGTGTATTGTGGGCAAAAAGCAAAAGTGACACGAAACCAGATAAATGTGCAAGGACTGTGATGTGGCACTGTGTGTTATGCCTTGTTTTGAAATATCTCTCTCTCTCTCTCTCTCTCTCTCTCTCTCTCTCTCTCTCTCTCTCTCTCTCTCTCTCTCTCTCTCTCTCTCTCTCTCTCTCTCTCTCTCTCTCTCTCTCTCACACACACACACACACTCTCTGTCTCTCTTTCTCTCTCTCTCTCTTTCTGTCTCTCCTCTCTCTCCTCTCTCTCTCATTAAAAACTATTTAATTGTTTATTGCAGTATTTTATGTTAGCTTTGTAAGTTTCTAGTGTTTTCTTTTTATAAAGGAGAGATTTATTGGCGTCGCCAAAGTGCGTCTGACTTATCAGCTGGCATGTCAACCACACACCTTCCTGGTTATTTTATTGCAGGTGTACTAATATTGGCCATATATATAATATAATATGTATTATTAGCAATATTCACATTGCTTAGCACAGGGCAGACAGCTACAGCCGGGAATGTAGCAGCAAAAGGATTAAAGTAACAATATGACAGTATGCTGAAACAATTAAACACCATTGTGATTAATTTAAAACAGGGGTTGACCATCATGAAGAGGAGCACAGGATATTAGAGACTGAGATGAAAACACATGTCAGGAGAATTGACATTAGATCAGGAAGCTTTCTTGCATGCTGTAATGGAGTCACAATTCTGCATCATTATGATAGCCAAGTTACCATTATATGTCACATATGGCTCACAGTTTGGTCCTCTGTTCTGTCCATTGCAGTCCTTTAGATATGAGTGGAATCCAGTCCAGCACCATTGGCCTTTCTCATCAACATTTGTCTTAGGGTTTCTCTTAGATGACCTTATGTCTTTAGTCCATTTGTTTCCCATTACCATGCTTGTTTAGTGATTCTGTACAATTTGCCCGGTATATTGCTATCTTATTTAGCTATGTTAGAGAATAGAAATGCCAGCATTAGAGAGAAAGTTGGAATAAGACCATGTCTGGATTATATTGGCAGAAAAAAAAATGAAATGGTTCAACCATCTAGTGAGAATGCAGCCAGTTCAGACTGCATATGAGACTTTTTACAGTATCATTTTTACAGTAGAACATCTGGGAGGAAGGCGAGCGGAATATCAAGAAAGAGATAGATAAATGGTGTAGCTGAAACCTGCAAGACGATGAACAAAACCATCACTCAAGCCACTCGAAAAGTGCAAGACAAATACAGAAAAACCACGACAGTTGGCTACAACCTGGCATCAGTGAGATGACAAAAGAAGAAGAAGAAAAGAGAATAGGTTTATTATTTTCATCACATGCAAAGAAACAGTTTGTGTTTCTTTATGTTTGTGTCCAAGTGACAAAATAAACATTTTCTGAAATGTATCATTGTAATTGTATTCCAGGAAGTAGATAGGAATTTCCTCAGAATGTATCTTTATACTTAAGAAACAGGAAGCGCTGGATGCAGTTAAGGGCCTGTGCCTGATAAGAGGGAAGTCATTGATTGCTCAGCAGGAGGACACAGTCAGACAGTTTACATTAGGCGAGGAGGGGAATGGGTCAGAGTGCCAACGGAACAGTCAGACTTGTGTAGAGTCATAATCACATTGAACAGGGAGTGGCCAGCAGGTGCCACGGAGAAAATTCAGCAATAATACAGGATATTGCTCGCTCTGGTGATGTGATTTTCTTCTTTTTTTTAAACAGATGGTTCAGTGTCCAGAGGTAAAAGAAGTACCTGGGGGTTCTTAGTAAAAGCTAATATCCGAGGTTTGGTACAGGAGAGCCTAGCATATGATACAACAATATCTAATTTAAGAATGGAGGTGGAGGCAGTTACTGCAGCTTTCTGCTGGCTAACGTACATGATACATACACAGATCATTGTTATAATTGACTGGATCTTTTCCTTGGGGCATGCTGGTGTATTGGAAAATGACGGCGGACAAATTAGCTGGCTTTGCACAACTTGGTGGAATACTGATACATGATAAGCAGACGTCGTTAAATCCTTGTGGGGACACATGTTCAATTTAGAACATAAAATTGGTCATCACTTTCTGATGAGAATGTTGCAGCGAGGAGCGACGAGGAGATCAGCCGATACTCGAATGTCAGAGAAAAGGCAAGACAGACATATAATCAGAGTGCTGCTGGCACCATTGGTTTGGGACTCTGCATTGGCTGCTGAAAACATATCAACAGGGCAGCAACCAAAGCCAGGAGGAAGACAGCAATACTAAGAAAACTAAGTGGAACCACATGGGGAGCCGATGGGAAAATACTCAATAAAGTATACAAGCAGAGCATACTTCCACACTTGGAATATGGGTCAACTGCATGGTGTTCAGCATCTAGTACCACATTAAAGGAGTTAGACAAAGTGCAAAATCAAGCGCTCAGAGTCATCACAGGAGGGATGAAATCAACCCCCATATTAGAAATGGAGAAAGCTGGGAAAACACAGGCACTGAGAGAACGCAGAGATACAAAGTTGCAAATACAAGCTGAAAAGTTCCTCAGTATGCCAGATCACCCGATGGAAAATAGATTTAAGAACCTAGCCTTGGGACGGTTAAAAAGAAGCAGCTTTATACACCAATCAAAAAATAATATGTAGACAAACTCCTGACCTTCTAGAAATTGTTTGCCCACTTAAAAGTATTCCGGAACAAACCCCATGGAGAGAAAAATGTAAACTAACGGTACAAATCCAGACAAATGTGAAAGGGATATTTGACAAGAAAGAGCAAGATAGCGTACAACGCAGAATGGCCACCCTCAGTTATGTTGATGCAGAATACCCACAAGAACAATGGGTCAGAGTCTATACAGATGGGTCCGCAGAAAGTGCAGTTAGAAATGGTGGTTCTGGAGTGTACATCGAATTCCCAGATAGTACTAGGGATAAGTCCAGCGTACCAACCGGAAAGTACTGCCATAACTACGATGCAGAAACCCAGGCTATCAAGATAGCTACAGAGAAACTGCTAAATACCAACCTTGGCTCACAGTATGTGGTAATGCTGTCAGATGCTAAATCAGTACTTGAAGCACTCCAGTCTAGGAAACTACCAGAATTGCAAACACTGCTGACACAACTCAGCGTTCAGCGAAGAGTCGTAATGCAGTGGATACTGTCTCATTGTGGAGTGCCTGGAAATGAGAAAGCTGTTCAACTGGCAGGGGAAGGTGCGACAAAAGAGCAGCCGGGTGTACCAGTCACATACCACCAAAAGAAAAGAATCATTAAATCGATCAGGAAACCACCAGCTCCAGCACAAGACAACTATTTTATTATGGACAAACCAGAACAAGTCATTATCCTCCGCATCAGAACAGGGCACAACCGATTACGTAACCACATGTAAACAAAATTCAAGATAGGTGTATCAGCCATGTGCACCTGTGGAAATGTGCCCCAGACAGCAGAGCATGTACTCCAGGACTGCACCGATTTTGACTCATTAAGGCAAACCTTTTGGCCAGAAAGAACAACAGTGGAACGTAAACTCTATGGACCACTGTTGAACTAACGACGACAGTGAAATTTATACAAGAGACAAAACTGCTGATATAGACAACTTATTTCAGGCGAACGAAAGAAGAAGAAGAAGCTGCTGCTGAAGATGGGGAATGAGCGCTTCTGGGACTGCCCTGTGTGCTGTGATGTCGGTTCTTTTCAGCTCATAGAAGTTTCCTCAGAATTTATATTTTTACCTGAGGAAGAGGTTGGGAATTTTCTCAGTGTATCTTTTGTACCCTTTGCTCATGATTTATTTTGCTAGAAGTCATGTGAAGTTTAGCTGTTATTTGAAGTTATTCATATTTAAGTAAAACAAATTAAATTAGTTTTTACATTAGAAAGGCTGCAGAAAGTACTCATCTAATAATAGGCACCTCTCAAGATAAAAGTTGTTCATGAAAGTGAACTCTTTAACTCCAGAGGGGATCACCCGGAAAAAACAATGCAAGACTACACAGCAACAGTGCTACAACTGGATATACTCATTGATGAAGTAGAAAAAGTCATTTACATCTCCTAAATATAAAGTTTCAGGAGTCGATAAATTACCAATAGAAGTAATCCAGGCAGCAGGGGAAAGAAACATCAGACGGCTTCACAGAATGTTTAATGCAGCATGTGTACAACAAACTGCTCCCATTGACTGGCAACATGCCATAATTATACAATTGTGGAAAAATGAAGGAATCAAGAGACAATGCAGTTAATAATGAGGCATCTCTCTTTGAAGTCATGTTGGAAAAAATGTATGCCATGATAATAGAAACGAGGCTCAGACACTTAAAAAAACCACATTTGACAGAAGAACAGATGGGATTAAGGAGAAATAGAAGCTGCAAAAATGTGATCTTCACACTTAACTCTTTAAGTCCCAGGGAACGCATCACGCTATAATTTGTTTCAAACTAGCGACCCAATCGACCCATGAAAAGTGAAGTTTTTTAATCTACTGCTGACCGGTTAAAACGCGAACCTCTAAATTTCAACTTCAGAGTTTTTTGTTTTTGATATCAAGTGTACTCCATTAGAAAAATGGGTTGAAAGCCAAAAATTAAGTATATTTTCGAGATTCCCGAGTTACTAAGTGTTTGTTTGAATAGAATATGGCCGCCAGGCACTATTCTATGTGCATGCCAACGTGATTTACGGCCTTAGAAGCCTAAAATTTAAATAAAGTATGTGTTTTTTTATAGATTTATCTGAAGTTAGATAGATAACGTTGCGAATTAGGCGTGTTTCAGTCATTTATAGAATCAAACTTTGATGAGGGATCTGTCTAATGTGTACCCCACGGGAAGGTTACAACGATAGCAAAGTCAGCTGGCACAAATAGAATAAAGATTAGTGAAAAGATGATTTTCTTCAGTGTCAGTTCTAGTGCTATTCCCCTTATTATTTCGGAAGATAGCTAAAAAATTACAGGCAAATTGAGATAAACTTTGTTTTGCATGAAAATACTAATTGTTTTGGAAGTCAGTTTTCTTTACCAAATAATAGTGCTCTGTTGTGATGCTTCAAAAGTATCTCAGGAACAAAATCTAATGTATAGATTAAGTTTATATTTTACTTATACATTACTAAGTGGTTCATATTCATTTGTGATTCATTTTGGATACATTTAACCAGTTTGTCTTGAGTGCCACGGTGGTAAGTGGAAATTCTTTTATTTCATTTTACTAATTTTTGTAAACATACCCTCTGTTTATTTACTAATTTTCAATTACTAACTCAATCATTTGTTGTAGCTCTATGCTAAAATTATTCCTCAACAATCCCTGGCCACTTTGATGTATCGTATGTGTATGTTGCGCTGCAATTGAATTGTATGGTCTGTTTTAATGTCTTACACTTGTGAAATTAAAAAATTGCATTACCACATCCTGGGCCTCTGATGCTAAACCCCCTGGGACTCAAAGAGTTAAACTGTTAACAGAAAAGAACATTGATTATGATAAGAACCTATTTGTGGCATTCATAGACCAGGAGAAAGCATTCGATAAAGTCGATCGACAAGTATTGGGGAAGTAATGGCTCAATATGGAGTGAGCAAACACTTCAACAGAGTGTGAAAAAGTTTATATAGGGATTGTCGAAGGGTAGTAAACATAAATTAGGGAAACATCTAACCCTGTTCACCGTAATATATGGAGTAAGACAGGGATGTGTCTTATCACCACTGCTGTTTATCACATACTTCAACAATATGTCCATCATGCAAATAGCAGGAAGAAAGATATTAGTAACATCAATGAACTATTGTTTGCTGATGACCAAGCCTTAATAGCAGATACAACCATAACATTGCAGTATCTCACAGCCATGCATGAATACTTAAAAACAAATAATAAAGAATGAACACTGAAAAGACAAAAGTAATGCTGATAGGAAGACAGAAGCAGAACCTAAATATAGCTGTAGAGTGCAGAGGCATTAAACAGGCATCTTTTAAATATTTGTAACAACATTCACCGAAGATGGGAAATTAGCTGAATAAATTAACTTCCAGTGCAGTCAAGCAAACCAAGCATTGGGACAGCTAGCTCCCCCACTTACAGCACAAGACAGTCCCAATCAGCACAAAGAAACATCTCATACAAAGCATATTTATTCCCGCCCTGTGCTGCCAGTGCCAGATATGGTCACTCACAACAAACCAGAAAAGAAGATTAGTAACCATGGAAATGAGATGTGTGAGAAGGGCAGCAGAAGTCACTAGAAGAAATCAAATCAGAAATGAGGTCATAAGATAACAAACTGCCATAGAACCAATTCTAAATGACATACGACGACAGCAAATCAAAGGTTCGCAGACTTACGAGAAAAGGCCTTGTGACACCATACTATATAAAGTATACATAAAAAGAGGGTAAGGACCTAGAGCACAAGGTAGACCAAGAATATTATAGAAAGTTAACATCAGAGAAACTACAACAGTGCAGTGTTTCTGTGGTCGAGGCTGGTCAGAAAAGTCAGAAACATGACCTTTTATCTCCCTGACACCCTAAGTGGTAAAAGAGGAAGTGGTTTTTTTTTTTTCCACTTCTTCATATGATCACATTTCACTTGTATGGTATTGGTAATGTTTTTACAATTTCTATTCACTTTCAGGCTCACATGAAATTTCCTCCAGATTACCCCTACTCACCTCCCAGTGTGCGGTTCATTTCTAAAATGTGGCATCCAAATGTATATGAGGTTAGTCTTGGAGAGAAAAACATACTAACCTTTTTTCCTCTTGACTTCAACTTAGGTATCAGCCATGCCTCTTTTAATACATTACTAAGATTTAATTTGGAAAGTAAAGGTAAGTTAGGATTGTGGCCATGTAAATCCTTGTGTGCTGTTCCTCTTAACATTCTTTTTAGCCCAACACCATATCCTGCATATGTTTCAACATTTTGTGAATGGTTTGCTTGTAATGAATAATTAGCATCATTGCATTTGGGACATCTTTGAGCATCTGATCGTTCCTAAGACAAGTCAGAGGATGTGGATCTGATTATTCCTTTCACCAACTACTTAGTTAGTGTCAGCATCACCGGTATTCATTGCAGCCAAGTACCTAGATGATTCTCACTTACATAGCCAGTAATGGTTCATCAGTAAATGTACCATGATATACCATGCTGTCATTTATGGCCTTCATTATATACCTCTATCCATCTTGATTGTTCCACTAGTAGGTTGCTTTTTGAAACTAGTATGTCAGTTGTCTGATCTGTGAAATTACTACTTTTTTTACTTTGCTGTGTAAGTGGTAAGTGCATAATTTTTTTTTTTTTTTTAGTATCCAGAAGCCATGAGTTGTTAACCCTTAGGCTCGGTATTATGGATATCGCAACTCTTTGGCCTTGATTCCATGATAAATACCGTAAATCTGGGAAAAATGTGGCTTTTCTGCCTACCCCCAGGCGTGAACCCGGACCACAAGGAGTTCGTCACCTGGTCACCGTGCAATCCAGTTTAGCCAACTATGCTAGCGAGCCGGGCGTAAGTGCATTCAGCTGTTGACAATGTGGTCTTCAGCTAAATAGGTAGAAATGAGATATGATTTAACACTTTACACTTCTGTAACAGTGCCTGTGAAATGGTTTATTTAAGTGAACTATTGAGTCTAACAATTAGATAGGAGCTGTAAAAGTCATGTTAATAAAGAAGTAATTTTATAGTGACTAAAATTGTTTGGATAAAGTTTGTTATTCCCTTTTTTTTTGTCTCGCACGGACTGCTGCATTGATAATGTTAAAATCTCTGACTTCCCCCTCCCCACTCCTTCTCTCCCTTCCTGTCTCTTTCTTTCTCTCATATGTGCGTTAACCACCTGCTAATTGCATAAAATTAATGCTGTTTATTTCCAGAATGGAGAAGTGTGTATTTCCATCTTACACCCCCCAGTTGATGATCCACAAAGTGGAGAACTTCCTTCAGAGAGATGGAACCCGACACAAACAGTCAGGTAGTCACTTTATATAGAAAGAGAACAAAAGAAGACTTTATGTAGTGTATTTTCAATTTTTTTTATATAATTCTGTATAATCTCTCAGTATATCCATGGGATCCTGCCACTTTTTTCTAGTTTGGTCAAATTAATGAACTCAAGGGGTACTAGTCAAATGCTTTTTTTAATCACATTTTTTGTAATTGTCATAAATAGTTTAGGAAGGTGATAAATGATGCTGCTTTCTGATTATTCTCTTATTGCTCTCAAGAATAGAGACGTGTAATTTTTCCTGTCTTATATGTCTAAAGAATTTAATGGAGAGAATTTGCTCTGAAGTGACAGAAAAAAGTGCATGTGCAAAATTAGTAAAGTTATGCCAGAAGCAAATAATGTTCAGTTATAAAAAGTTAAGCTTTCAGATATTATGGGCCATGACATATAGGGTGAAGGAGCCAGTATGCTTCTTCATCACCTTTTACTCTCTCTTTGCTGCTCGCTTTGCTAGAGAAAAAGATGCATACACATGTCATAATTGTAACAGACTCTGAAGGCATGCTAAGAAAGGTGAAGACAGGGATGCTTCGAGCAGAGTGGCAAGCTTCACTGGGAAGGTCACGGGTAGTGAGCATACTTTGGATCTTTTCTTCAGGCTATGCCGGTGTAGTAGGTAATGAGCAGGCAGACAGATTGGCTGAATCTGTACCATTTGGTGGTGAATTGACACATGACGAGGCAGATGTGGTCAAGGCCCTTTAGGAACAACAACGGAATCAGTAGAAAAACAAGATTATTATGGTCTGGAGAGAATGAAGCACCTGGGTGTAACCAGAGGGTCTGACCGGCTTACACTAAGAGGAAAGACAAGACGGATATATAACCAGATTGTGACCGGTACCATCAGTATTGGAACTCTGCACTGGCTGATGAAGATGAGGAGGAAGCACACATGGGAATGCCATGAGTTCTGTGATGTCAGTTCTTGACTCAACTCAACTCATCACCTTTTCTGCCCAGATAATTTCCAGCAAATGCTGAAAATTGACTAGGAAAGAAACGCGCAAGAAGAGATAAATACCTGGATGGCCACAAGGTTTAACCAGAACAAGAACACAAACCTGATTTAAATCTTTGGTGATTGTGTGAAATGAACAATGACAGTCCATTTTTTTTTGGCATAGCACATGATGATTATAGTTTCCATTCTAAGCTAGGCATTTTTTATGACAGCCACACTCAAGAATTGTGTGCTGCATTTTCTGCCAAATTTGCAGTATTTTGATTTTTCAACAATGTGTTGTTCCTTTGTTTTCATTTTCAGAACAATTTTACTCAGTGTGATTTCATTGCTGAATGAGCCAAATACCTTTTCACCTGCTAATGTTGATGCCTCAGTAATGTTCAGGAAATGGAAGGAATCCAAAGGAAAGGAAAAAGAATATGAAAATATCATTAGGTAATTCTCAGATCTGGTATTGAAAATGTGTTCAGTTAATCGTATATTTGACGTTTACATTTTTTTTCCCCACATAAACTAAGGTGGTGTGATGGTTATTTTCTACTTATCCACCCTTCTTTTGTTTGAATGAATGAATCAAGAATTGACATAACGGGACTCTGGACATTCCCACACTTGCTCAATCCCCTTGTTCAGAAGGCATCAAAGAGGTCACATGTTAAAAGTACCAGTTGCAACCTGATGACATGTTTGCTTGTGTTTCCACCTCAGTGTTGAATATTTTCCAGAACCTATTACTCACTCCTAGTTGAATTAAGCCTTCTTTTGTTTTTCCTTGGCTAATCTGTCATTTTTCATCATTCTTCCACTTCCTTCTTCATTCTTTGTTCTACACTTCTGTCATCACTTCCTGACTGCTAATTCTTATATTCTTTTGTCTGTTTTTGTTCATGGTATCATCTTTACCCTATGTAGCAGGTCACATTGCTGTCATGACAGCTTGCCGGAAGGCAACTTAGTCCCCTTCTCACCTTTCCCATCTCAGGAAATTTTATGTATAGTGTGTCCTTGATATCCTGTGTTCACTTTCATACTGGTTATCCTGTGCCTCTTCTTCCAAGAACCATACCTTTCATTAGTGTTCTCTCTAACTAATATTAGCTGATATTTTTGGGGAGTTGACCTCATGTCAGATCACCATTTTGTAATTGTTTTCTGATTTGTGTGGCTTATACAGTTGTTTTTGTGTGCTGTGATTGCATATTAGTTTGTGGACTTGTCCATGCTCAGTCCTCAACAAAAGCAGGTTTATTTGAAGCATCAAAAATGAATAGTTTTAGAATGAAATACACAAATCACAAAATTCTAATGAGGTTTTTTTTTCTTTTTTTCTCTCGCTTTTTTTGTGTGTGGATGTAAATGCTGTAGAGGGCAGCTTATGAAATAATATTAAATATGGCAATACATTCTTTGCATCCTAATTATTTAAATTCACAGTGGTAAGTAAGTGAAGTATCATTCTCATGCCATTAGCATGTTGAGCATATAGTGCCAGGTCCAGGTTTACAGATCTATCGGCACTCATTGGGTGATGTAGTCAACATCAAGCCAGGCACCTTATCAGAATATTTCCTCATTTTAGAAGAAGATCCACACTGTCGCACATTTTTATAATTACCTGGATTTTCTTCTTGTTAGTATTCTTCGCCTGCTGTAAACTGTGGCAGAAAGTTCTGGTTGTTCATTCACTTCTGGATTTAAGCTGCTTTTCAGAACTTGAATTTTGCATGCACATCTGTTTTACAGATCTGCTCATTTGGATGCAGACTGTTGTTTCCTTATCTTTCAGGAAGATGCATTTCTTCGTGGGAAACATCCATAATTAGTCAAATTTTATTAAATGTATAAAATGCTTGGTAAGTGGGGGGGGGGGGGGGGGGGGGGGTGTCAGTGGGCTTGTTCCTTTTTTCCCCAACATGGGACCCCAGAACCCCCACAAGACAGTGTGAATCTCAGCCTATGACCTTCGGGCAAACAGCTCCCATGGAGAAGACTTTTGCTTTAGATTTGTAAACTCATTATAATTGTTATTTTATTAGGATGTGTTGTTTTCTCATGACTGTCGTCCGTGGATAGGTTTATTACTCTACCTAACAATCTTTACAAACTTGCTTGCAGAAAACAAGTTCAGGCTACAAAAGAAGATGCAGAAAGAGACCAAGTTAGAGTACCCACCACATTACAGGAATACTGTGTCTCATCCATACCAACTCATGATAACCAAGTGGATGCAGACTTTTATGATGACACATATGTGGACGATCTCGATGATGAAGAGGAGGATATGTACCATGAAGATGATGAAGAGGATTCAGGCAATGAAGAGTCTTGATAGGATCATGACTCATCTTGTCTGTTTCCTTTGCGTCATTGTACCATACTCTGAGGACTGAAGGGGTTAGGTGTGGTTGAATGTTGGTGTGAGTGATTCAAAGATTCTGAAAATTGACTGTAATATTTGTGACATTTTGACCTGTTGATTACTAATATCACACACCTGCCCCTGTCTTTTATTTTTTTTTTTTTTATAATGGTGAAGAACAGGAAATCCTAGGTGTAAGCTGTCACATTAAAAACTAATTGGTTGTAAATTAACATATTCCAGTAAAAGTTGGAGGATCTGTAAAGACATGGAATGAAAGTTAAATACATCCAAAGACAAAATGCTTGAATGATTTCAAAATTAAAAGAGATGCAGCCAAGAAAAGTGAATTAAGAAAAATATCTGGACAACATCTGGTATTAAATTTTGAGAAAAAGAAGGTGGTTATATTTTGGACACATTGTGGACAGAGAATCACCAAACAGGCACCTTTAGACAAGAAACAAATGGACTGAAGAAATGAGGATATCCAGGGAAACCCTTGAGCAAACATGGATGAGAGAGGCCACGTGCAGGATTGGATTCTATCTATTCTACAGATTTCTGAAGAATAGACTGCAAGCCCTAAGTGACATATAAGTGCTAAAACTGGATAATTATGTAATTTGCCAAGAGTGGATCATAAGACCTCTTCCCTGTTTAAGATGTTAGAAAATTCTTTCTTCCTGGTAGATGGAGCTTATTTATTCAAACAAAGTTGTCTAGAGGAAGTAGTTGTTCTAAAGTAGTTGTGTCAATATTGTGCTCAGCTGGATTTGAACACAGGGTTTCTTAGAAGCAGACACCAAACTCCTAAGCCATTTTGCTGAGATTTTTCTAAGGTTATTTATAGATGGATGAGTTCGCTCTCTTTTTTAGTTTTGTAATCGAAAGCATTTGTTATAGGGTCTTCTTCTTGTATTTTTTTTAGCGTTAGGTTTGAATTGCATAAATAATGATAATAAGGGAAATGTTTTTAAGCAGACAAAGATTGCTGTTGTAGCTTTTAAACAATGGTACAAAAGTCTTAACATGGAATAGGTTGAGGCCTTATAATATTCCAAAAGACAGCAGTGAATGCACTGCAGACAGCCTTTATTGTGGGCATGACACAAAATTGAATCTAACTTAACATGCTTGGCTAGTTAGTTAGTTAGTTAGTTAGTTAGCTGGGTTATCCTCATTGCACTCCGGACATGTCCATAGGTGCTCAGATCCTCCCCCTCAGTATGAACCCCAACGTCCGATGGCTAATAGTACCAGTTCTATGTTGATTAACAAGTCTTCTGGCGTAGCTGGTGTGCGTCTCCTTTTTTGCTGTGCCGATCTTAATTCCCAAGTCTGCCATTCTGGCGAGTGATGTGGATTCACTGCCACCAAAGTCCTCTATCCTTCCCATTTCTCTAAGGGCATTGATAATATCAGCATGATCCATAGGCTGACCGTCGGTAGTGATAGCGGATCCAGCCAACCTGTCAGCTCTTTCATTTCCATCGACGTCTGCGTGTCCCGGAACAAAAATAAAGGTGACTCCACGAACAGTGAGCTTCTGTAATGATTCAAGCCATTGTCTTCGCACTGAACCTGCCTGAACCCTCCGGATCATACTCATTGAATCTCTGAGTATACACACGCGGGTGTATTTTTGTGTTTCAAGCCAGGCAAGCGCTTGTGTCACTGCCATCACCTCCATCGTCATGCTGCTGGTTGTCATGGAGAAGGCGCCGTTGGCTTCTTTGACTATTCTGCCCGCTGAGCGTGCTGTAAATGCCCATGCGCTTCTTCTTTGGCGTATAACGGATCCGTCTGTATAGATTATTGCATCTGCTTCGTCTGAATTTTCACCGATGAGAGCGTTGACCTCTGCATTAACAGCAACAGGATTCTCTTCTTTACATCGCCTGTTGAGTGTGACAATACAGGAAAATGTACAAATAAACGCCTGAGGCACAGGTATCCATTCTGCACCAGGTATGATGTCGGTTAGGCTGCATATTTGCCTAATAACATCTTCTGCCCGACCTAGCCACGATTTCACAATTAGCCATGCTTGGCTAATCTGATTCAAGCTAAAATAAAATGTTTGATTACTCAAAAGCAATGTTTCGTTAATGTTTCTAAGTAGAATTATTTCCTTTAAGCCTGAAAGTTTTGAACCAGTTAATTATCTTTATGCCAACATCCTTCCTGTGTGTACCCCTGCAGTCCTCCTTCTCTTCACATTGACATATGAACATTTCTCATTAATATTGGCCGGACGACTGGTTTGTTTCTGATTAGAACAGAAATCAGATCTCATTTCCTGCAGATGGTCAGAATGATAAACTAGGCAGATGTATAAAATAAAGCAGTCAACTCATGTAACTGGTTAAGTAGTAACAGATCACGAGAATGAAGATCAGTACCGTATTTGATAAAATATGTTTCCACCTACGGTATGCCCGGCTCTCTAGCGCAGTTGGCTAAACCGGATTGCGCGTAGACGGGGTGACGAACTCCTTGTGGTCCGGGTTCAATCTCGGGAGTAGGCAGGAAAGCCACATTTTCTCCCAGATTTACGGTATTTACAATGGAATCAAGGCCGAAAGGTTGCGATATCCATAATACCAAGCCTTAGGGTTAACAACTTATGGCTTCTGGATACTAAAACAAACAAACACCTACGGTTTTGTTTCTGACTGCATTATTTCATACAGTGGGCAGACTAATTAACCAGGCAAATGTTTAAAATAAAAAAGTAAACAATTGACTTGGGTGAAATAAAGGAGCAGAAGAATGAAGTTTGATAAATATATATTAAAGACTAATTTCTCTACATATGAATGTGAACGTCCTAGTCATCCTGGTCACAATCAAGCAACCTTATGTTTATGACGAGAATTAGTCCAGATTTCCTCATTGATTTATAATGGAGCAGCCACAGCCGTGGTAAACTGTTTTCACTTGTCTGATATAGTTCTTCACCTTCATGTGATTAACTAGTGGAACTTGAGTTGCCAAGTTTCCTTGTGGTAAGATTATTGAATCGTAAGATGTCATTTAATGTGATTAAACTGTAAGGGCAACATCCAGCACTAGACTCAAACAACTTGAGATGCAAGTGCAACTTTCTGTGTCAATTTTGACGATTATGGTTTCATCATGTGTGATTTTGCCGGTGTGATGTTGACTACATCACTCGCCGAGTGCTGATTGGTCTATAAAATATAGGTCTAGCCCTATATGCCCAATACACCTTAAGGTGTGGGAAATGATTCTTTACTTTATTACTTTACATATATGATTTTGTTCGTATGGTATTTTGTCATATGTTGTGCTTGTTATTACTGGCTAGTAATAACTTCATGTAATGAAGTAAGTCAACAGATAAAATTCATATTGACACAATTTCAGTGATTTTGGTTGACTTCATGTTTAAGGCGTTGATTCATGATACCGGCAAAGTTAGACTGATATTTTAAAGAAAGTGATTGAAATATACACTGATATTGATTAACACTTAGAGAAGACAAAAGGAAAAGCGGATAGCAGAGTGCACACTAGAAACAGTAGAAAGCAAAGAGAATACCAAATCTGAATCTATCACTTGCAGATAGTGTCATCATTCAGGATAGTCAAATGACTAAACCAGATGTGGGCAATATGTCACCCACTGGCCATATGGGACCCACATAGTCAGATGGTCTGGCTCTGCCAAGGCAATCATGATTAAATGCTTGATAAAATTTAGCAGGTTAATTTTGTTAAAGTTGTTAATTTTGAATGGTCAGTGAATGATGTTATAAATTTTCAAAGGACCCTTAACAGATTAAAGGTTCCCCACCCTTGAGCTAAACTATGGAATTAATCTCCAGCCATTTTCATCAGTTTGACTAATATTCTTCCCTTCCTTGCTGACATTTCACTTGTTCCAACACTACATAGAGTAGGGCAGTCAATCAAGTTCCATCTCCACAGTGATTGTTGGCAGCAAGAGATCTCCAACATGCTCTGTCTCTTGACTTGGTTATACACTGAGTTTGCTGTTCATCCATATCTTTTTCCTCACTCCTGTATCTACCTCTTGTTCTCTTGGCCTCGACTTTTTCTGCCATCATGGCTTTTTTTATATCTTTTAATGTGGCCAAAAGATTTTTTTCTCTTTTTTTTTTTTTTTAAATGTAATAGATTAGGACCTAATTTATTTATATATATCTGCATCTTCCAAATCACTAAAAGGATGCGTATTTCTTCATTTTTATTTGCTTCTTATAAAATGGTTGGCATCCTGTATTGTGGTTTTCAGCCAGGCTGCAGTGTCTACCCCTTTTAGTTCCCCCACATCAGCAAAATCTTAGTCACATTAAAGACTTACCTGGCAACTAGCAGCAGGTCTATCCTTATGTTTCCCCCAAAATGGGGTCCCAGAGCCTACATGGGGGAGGAATGCATATTTAACTGTAAACAGTGATTTTCTCTAAACTGATTGTAGATCATTTATAATGGTGGGAAGATTTAAAAGTCTGGTTGTAAAATTAGAAATTTGTAATAACAAATGCATATCTTTTATCAGATCTTTAAAACATGTGAAAGAATGCATTAATACATTGATAAACTAGCATTTACTTACAGTAATATGAGAGTCGCACCGTGGAAGAGATTTTGACCTTACCATTGAATAGCAGTGTATACATTGAAGTTCTCTTCATTGTGGATATAGCAAACATTTTTATTTAGTTATTGACAGATCATGTAAAGTCCAGCTGTAGGTTAAAGAAACAAATCTGCTTCTTCTACGTCATGTCCACCAGCTGTAAATTCCAGTGGAAAGTTCTAGTTGTTTATCCGCCTCTGGACTGTAGTCTACCTCCAGAACATGTGTGGTGTGCACATCCATTTTATAGATCTGACCTATCTGTTTGCAGATTGTTGGTTTCTTGTCTCTCAGGCAGATGCACTCTGACTTCGAATGAAGCCCCTAGTTAGTTCTT